CGCATCCGACCCTGCATTCACCGGAATCCGTGCTAACCCATATCCCGGTTACGTTCCAGCTCTCTAGCTTCCCATCCGCGCGCCCCAGCCAGGCTCCAGCACCCTCCCGCCATCCTCCACCCCCAACACTCCCCGGGAGACCGCTTGGGGACTGCAGTCTGGCCTTCCCCGGCCTCCTTTTGCGCCGCCCGAATCCTCTCCCATCTGCGCCAGCCACCATTGACATCCCGCCCTCCGCCGACGCGACATGCCTCCCGAGCTACCGGTTCCCCGTGACGAGACGTCTCACTTTGACGTCTCGTCTTGGCGCAAACATTGATCCCGACCGAGCTACCGGTAGCCCCCGACGACACGTCTTCCACCACTCACTGCAACCTTTCGTGGTGCGGCTTCACTTGTTCGCCCAACAGATCGGGCATCGTAACGCGCGTGCAGGTCTCTTTTGAGCAGCACGCTCACGTACCAGACCATCGTGCGAGCCGACGGAGGACGGCCGGATCGAGGCTCCTGCCGGCGGGAATCACGAGCGTGAAACCCAGAATCGATGGCCAGCGGCGTGCGATGTCGCCGTGCGGACGCGTTCACCAATAGCAGCGCTCCATTGAGCTCTCATTTTCGCTTTTGATGTGTGGTTTCGTTCGAATTGACCGCTTTTCCGCACTGAATTGCCTCAAAACAGCCCCCGCGTCACGCTCCGCGCGCGCGCACGCGCTTCGTTTTCCTCCACGACCCTGCTCTGCTCCGCTTCACACTCGCACCCGCCGCATACGAAACCACCTCCGCCCGCCCAGGGTGCGAAGAACGATCGCTCGCGGCCTCTCCCCTTCACTCCCGCTGTCCCTCGCTTGCTCGGCTCATGTCAATCAAGTCCGCGCGCCCTCACCTCATCATCCCCACTGATTGCAACCGTTTCGAGGTGAGCACAGCACCCGACGCACACTCGACACACTTACACCAACAGCCGCACAGCCGCGAACACGATACCAGGCATTCAGCAGATTGTATGCGCGCGGGCCGCGCATACAGCAAGACCAGTTGCTCTGCTGGTCCCGTCCGTGGGCTGTCCGGCCGCCGCGTCGTCTCAAACCTGTGTGCCAGCCTGAGTCGGTACGCACCTGACCCTGCATGCATCGTAATCCGCGCCAATTCACCACGTTCCAGCTCTCGAACAAGCCGTGAGAGCCGAGGCCTGCTTCTACGCTCGAACGCGTCTCTGAACATCTCCGCGCCGTCCACCGTCGGCATGCCGTTCCGTCACATCAAGATCCCGATACGACCCTACCTCCCAAGGTACTGGTACCCACAACGACACGTCACTGTGGCATCTCGCGGTGCGTCTTCAGTTGTCTCCGTCACCGACGCCCATCTAACCTTGCCCTTCCAACAGATTGAACCTCTTAACGCGCGTGCTCTGGCGGGAATACGACCAGCTGGCAGCGTGCGATGTCACCGCGCGGACACGTCCACCATCGCCGTTGAATGTGTCTCCGACAACGGCAGCTTTTGCGCAACGCCCTGTCGAGCTCTTGTTTTCGCCTTTCATGTGTGATTTCATTCCATTTTACCACTTTTCCGCACTGACCTGCCTCAAACCAGCACTCGCGTCATCCCCTCTCGCCGGGGCGCGCGTGCACTCGCGCATCTGTCACGTCAAGCCCCGCTCCGGCCTTCGTCCTCAGACCTCCGAGCAAGCAGTGTGTCATCCGGCGCCGACGTCTGTTCTTCCGCCTGAACCCGCCCCTGAGGGCCACTGTCCCGGCACGCCCATGTCTCGCGGCGATCGAGAGCTCTTACGTTTCGCCTGACGGTGAGGTTGTATTCCGTTTTTCATTGTTTGGCGGCACTGACACCGTATCCACCGCCGGTGCCCCGGTGCCCAGCGACCTCTCATGCCCGTGAGGCTCGTCCAACGTCACTCGAATGTGCACCAGCGGTACCGGCAGCAACGCTATCGCCGCCGCCGCCGACGCATGTCTGGCACTCCGGGGACTCCCAGGAGACAATGTCGTCCGCATCCGAGGGAGCACGGACGCGTGTTGTCGCGATGCCGAGCGTAGTGTACTCGCCGACCACTGCTGCGATGGCGGCGAACGACTCGTACGGGCCGGCACAGGCGATGCACGGGTTCATGGCATTCTGCCATGTCATCGCGGACGACACCCTGGCTGCAAGCGACGGCCATCGCCTCTGACGCGATTTGTCGCCGTCTCCGTGAGTGCCCCATCATCTTACATGCCAAACCAGCAATCGCTTGCTGATGCCCCCTGGCCCGTGCCAGGTCGTGTACTGCGAGGAGATTCTCCTGTACCGGTGCTGCGTATTTCGAATGCAGTCAGTCGCATTCCCGTCACAGTCGTGTGAGCGTGTGGGGGCGGCGCAGAGCGTCAATGGCGCAAGCGGCTCGTTCCGAGCACATCTCGTCTCGCTGTCGTCCCCCGTCTGCGGCGCTGCGCTCTGGTACGGGTCCTTCAACTCGACGCGGACCATTGGCTCTGGCACTCGTCTCGAGCTCTCGCCGCCGAGGCAGCGAAGACATCGCGTATCGGATGCAAGATTCTCGCGGAACCACGCTCGCCGCAAACGAACGGGACAGCGCGCGTGTGCGCAGGACCGCGCCGTCCAAGTGTATGCGACTGGATTGGCCGCTGTGACCCGGTCCGCTCTAAGAGCGCAGCCTGACGCCACGGCTGTGCGCCTGGCTCTCGTTGTGGATGCCGCGGAGCCGCTCCTCGTGAGCAGACGAACCGGGTGTGTGTTCACTGCCCCTCGGGCTCCGAGTGATGCAGGAGACACTTGCTGCTCCACAAGCGGACCGTTCCAGGAACTCGCCCTCAGTTCACCCTTGCGCCGCATGACACGAGGAAGCTTCGGTCAAGCGTTCAGCAAAGACCAGTTGCTCTGCTGGTCGGCTGAGCCCGAGTCGGTACGCACCCGACCCTTCATTCACTGGAATCCGTGCTAATTCACCACGTTCCAGCTCTCGAACGAGGCGTGAACGGTCCCAGCCTGCGCCGTCCTCCACCCGCGACACCAGTGTTCGGGAGGCGACTTAGGGCTACCGTCCCGGGAGCCACGGCCTGCTTCTGCACGGCACGAGTCTGCCCTAACCCTTTTTTGAACACCTGCCCGACCACCATCGACGGGCCGTTTCATCACATCAAAATCCCGACGCGACCCTACCTCCCCGAGGTACCGGTGCCGACACGTCACTGTGACGCGTTGACGGCTCGTGGTGCGCTTTCAGTCGTCTCCCTCATCGGCGCCCATCCAACCTTGGCCGCCCGATAGGTCTGGCTTCGTGGCCCATGTACTCAAGTCAAGTGCAGGTCTCTTTCGAGCGGCGCATCCGTGTACCAGAACATTGTTCTACCGTGAACGAAGACTTCACAGAGGGCGACTGGACGGCGGGAACATGAACAGGAAATCCCGCCTTGACGACTAGCGGCGTGCTGTGAAGCCACGCAGAAACGTTCACCGACACCGTTGAACGTGTTTCCGACAACGCTGGCTTTTGCACGACGCCCCGTCCAGCTCTCGTTTTCGACTTTCTTTTGTGATTTCACTGCATTTGCCCGCTTTTCCGCGCTGACGCGCATCCAACCAGCACCCGTGTCACACCTCTTTCCGGAGCGCGGCCAAAGAACGCATGGCGGACTCGTACGAATGTAGACGGCGCCGTGAACCATCATCATCAGGCCCCGACGTCTGTTGTCCCGCCTGAGCCCGCTCCTGAGGGCACGCATTGCCACTTTCCGCCATGAAGACGGCACGCCCGTGTTTGATCCTCACCGCACATGCGGCGTGCAAAAGTCTCGCGGGGATCGGGGCGATTTTGCGTTTCGCTTGACGGTGAGATTCTATTTCCTTTTCGCCTGTTTGGTGACACTGACAGCGTATGCATGGCGCCGCGCCCGTCAGGACGTCGCCCGAACGTGCACTGGCGGTACTGGTCACGAGCTATCCCCGCTGCCGCCGCCGCCTCCGCCTCCGCCGCGGCGCACTCCAAGGGCTCCCGGGAGACAATGCCGTCCGTGCCGCGAACACGGATGCGTGTCGTCGCGATACTGAGTGCAGTGCACTCGCCGAGCACCGCTGCTGTGGCGACGAACGACTCGGGGAGGACGACGCGCGAGTTCATGGCATTCTGCCACGTCGTCATGGACGGAGCCCTGGCCGTACGCTATGGTCGTTGTCTGTGTGAGTGCCTCATCATAGCGCGTACCAAGCTGACTCGGTAATTGCTTGCTGATGCCCCCCGGTCCGTGCAGGGTCATCCGGTCGGGTACCGTGAGATCCTCACGACCGGCGCTGCGTCTTTCGAATGCAGTCGTGTACTCGTCCCGGTCGTGTGAGTGAGTGGGGCCATATTTTCTCGCTGCCGCCCCTCGTCTGCAACGCTGCGCTCAAGACCAGGACACTTGGCGCAGACTACCTCCAACTACTCTTGCACTGGAGAGCTCTCGCCGCTGATGCAACGCAGACCACGCGTACCGGACGCTGGCACAACCCCTGCGGGACCACGCTCACCGCAGACGAATGGAGCAGCGCGCGTGCAGGGCCGCGCCGTCCGAGTGTTGGCAACTGGATCCGCCGCCGCCGCTTCGCAGCGCGGCACCGCGACCCAGTAGCCCGACGCCACGGATCCGTTCGTGTGCGATAAACGGCTCTGGACGTGCATGCCGCGGGTGCACTCGTACAGCCCTCGTGCGCAGATGTACCGGGTGTGCGTTCGCCTCGGGCTCCAAGTGATGCAGAAGACGCTTCCTGCTCCTCGGTCAGCTGCGCGTGCGCATGGTACGGTGTTCAACCCGGAACCGTTTGAAGGTGCACTCGTCTAGTGCACACCACGACGGCGACTGTCGCGTGCGGTGACGATCTTTCGTTGCTGCCACCTCTGTGAGTGGTCCATCATCATGACGCGTGCGCCGACAATTGTTTGTTGATGAGCTCCGGTCCGTGCAGGTCGTGTGCACAAGGAGATCCGCAGACGGATGGACCCGCTTGCGATGGGCACCGGCGGTCGGCGACACGCTCACATGCGTTCAAATAACACGGTGGTACGTCCCTGAGGCACCCGGAACCATTATTTGGTTATACTCACAGCCGCTTCGCGCGGAGGTCCTCTGACTTTGCTGTTGACGAAGGACGGAGGTGCCGAACACTCGACTTGAAGAGCAGATCACGACAGCGCGTACCTACGCCTGGAAGGCGAACGGCCCGGTGCGTATGTCGTGTGGCGGATGTGAGGGTCGTGCGCGTGCGGTACAAGTTCCAGACGATGTCGTCCGGGACGCGCACCAGTCCGCTCTAAGAGCGCACCGATCCGACGCCGTGTGTCATTGTGAGCAGACGCTGCGCAAAATGTCCCCCGCACAAGTTACCGTCCATTCTCCGGTACCGGGAACTTGGTCGTGCGGGCGCATTCTGCGGTCAAACAGACCGTTCCAGGGGCTCGACAACGTACTCGTCTAATTCACGCCATGGCATGGGTAAGATTCAGCACCCGGCCCCACCTCATCCTACACGAACACGCCGACGCGGAGCACCCCGGACTCGGTACGCCCGTCCGCGCGCGGTTACTATCGTGTGCGGCTATGGCTTCCCGTCGCTGCTACTTTGTGAGTGGTCCATCATTCCGCGTATCGGGCCAATAATTGCTTGCTGATGAGCGAGTCCGTGCAGGCCGTGTGTGCAAGGCGGATCCGCAGACGGAGTGACCCACACGGTGGTACGTCCCTGCGGCACTCGACACGTACTCACAGCTTTGCATTGAAGGCCGAATACTCGCCAAGGGCAGGCCACGGCAAATACATACCTACTCCCAGGAGGTGAGAAGCAGCCGGTGCCGCGCACGTCGGGTGCCCATGCACGTGCAGTTCGAGACCATCGTCTGGGACACAATCCTGGTGAGCAGATGCCGCGCAAAAATGTCTCCCGCACAAGGTACCGTCACCGGGCGCGCCCACGTCTTCACAAACTGCGGCAGCTCACTCTGAAACACCGTGGTGAGCGCTGAGCATACGCTGACGGAAAGAAGGTACCAGCTGCAGACCAGTTGGAGGACGCGTGTTTGTCCGCTGGGCGCGAACGTACACGCACAAACCTGTTGGTACCGGGTTACACCGTCACGAGATGTTGACTTGTTCGTACGGCGTCCCGTCAAGCAAAGCAATAGATCGTTGATAGACTCGCAGGATCGGGCGCGCCGTACGTCATGGCGCCAGTATGGACGCGCACGTTGCGACTCGCGAGTGCCGCACAAGCGGGCGGGTTTGACGCGTAATATGGTTAATGAACTCGACGACGTGCTCACCCGCACTCCCGTCTCTGTTAACAGGTCGACTCGCTCCTCCCCGCTGGTAGTACGTACACCAGATACGATGAGCTCAGCATTTTACTGACACGGAACAGGCTCACCTCGCGATGTCTGGCATCCAAAGGAAGACAGCCAGCGGTCCCGTAACGTACGCCAGAAGCCAGTTCCGGGTACGTGCCTGGCTGAGAGCGGAGATGAACGAGAGCGTGGGTGAGCACTCCTCCCTTCATCCTCGCCGTTCTTGCGCGTTGAAGTGACGGACTGCAGCGACAAAGTCTAACACGCCCGGTGCCAAGATGCGCTACACTGTGGACGACTTCCTGAAGCAGGTCTTCACGCGATGCGGCTTGGTGCTTGAGGGGTGGCCGGCGGACATCCCCTTTTGCAACCTGAGCGACGTCGGGGGAAATACGAACCTCGAACGCCTCCGGCACGCGTGGGTGCAGGGCGATCTGCGCTTCGTTCCCGTCACAGACGAGCACAAGGCTGCAGCGGAGGCTGACCCGCTGTCTGCGGTGCCTGGCCGTCTGAACCGCGGTTTCCGGAAGCGTGCGCAGCGGAGCGACATCGGAGAGAGGCACTACCGGCCGGTGACGGAGGCGGGGTACCTTCCGCAGCCACGGCCGTCGCAGGCAGTGGTGACGCCCGAGATGGAGGCGGAGGTGGATGCTGAGGTGCGCCGGGCGGTGTGCTTGAAGCGGAAGCGATGGCGGAGCTATGGGTACGAGTTGTCCGACGATCCGATAGACGAGTTCACGTCGGATGAGGACGAGGAGCTAACGCCGATAGTGGCCGCACGTTCGATGGAGAGGGCCTGGCGGCGTCCGCAGTGGACGGTTGCTGCGAAGCGTCGGCGGCTGGACTTGCAGCTTAGCGGGTTGAATTAGAAGATGTCGACGGCGTTAGTGTAGAGCAAACATAATACGTGGGGGGTTTGGCGGGCTGGTCAATGATGGAAGCCCTCGGCGGCCGCTGTGAAGACGCTCTCGTCCAGTCCAAATCAGACACTCGATCGTCTTAGCAAGCGAGGCAGATGCCGCTGCCTTGACGTCTCTCTGTGCAGCCGGGATGCCCGATGTGCGAGTAAATCTGTGCAGCAGCACGATCGCAACACCCGCTGCACATGCACTTTTCAAGAACTGTACAAACCTGCAGAGGTTTGGATCCCTTCCCTCTGAGGATGGGAGGAAAAGGATCCAGACCTCTGCAGGTCTGGCAGAGTGTGAGAGTGTATGAGAATTGAAAGCGGTTGGCTGCGATCAGCCAGAAATTTCGCTTAAATTGCCGCAGGGCATTGAAATGAGTGCTGCCTTGAATTGTTTCAGGTGACCGCCACAGCACCGCCGCCAGACCCACCCCAAGTGAATATTTTGAAATAGTAGCCATGGTCTCGCCCCTGGCAGCTCGCCCGACGCCGCTGAAACGCCGCCTGCACTGCTTGCCAGTCTCTTCCCCCCTCTCTCTTCTCCTGTGTTCACCCTCCCTGCGACCTCTCCAGAGCCGTCAACAAGCAAGATGTACTTTACTGCAAGATAAGGTGGGAAGACGCGAAGCTGAGAAGCTTGGAGTGACATGGGAACGACAGAGTCGTCCAAGTGCAGGCCGACTCTCACGTCCGCATGGCGGCACCGCTTCGCGACGGTACACCTACGACGCCCGCAGCACACTCAAGACCCGAATGCGAGTCTCCGGCCCGGCTTGCGGGATGCGCGTTGTCAGGTGAGTGTTAGACACGGTCCTTTCGCGCGTACCGCCGTGTAGCCCTGGTACGCAAGTCCCCGTCGCTCGAATCGCGGCGGGCGCACCAGCCAGGTGAAAACATGCTCGGGGCACGCGTTCATACCGCCCGGTCGCCGCCTGGTACGTATTCTGGTTCTAGCTATGGTACACGAGAGGGGCGGGACGGAACGCGCTCTGTGCGTGTGCTTTGGGCGACAAAACTGACCTGTTTCCGCAGGTTTCTGGCAAGTGCACATGCGAGACATCTGGCCTGGTACGGCCGACGACAATAGCTAGGGTGCAGTGGGCACGTACTCGTTCAGGTGAGCATGTGTCAGAGACTAGTGCGAGGACACATTAAACTGACCTTTTTGTGCCTTCCTGCGAGGCTCAGGATGCGACGGCGGCGGTGTGCGACAGACCTGTTCGCAGACCGCATCCCCATGCGTGAGTTCGCCGAGTCACTGGCTGATAGGGACGTGTTGGCAGTGCGGCAGTAAATCCCTCAAAGCGCGGACATACCGGTCAGGCGGGAAAGCGTCCGGCTGGTCGCCGGAGTGCCTGGTACGACTCAGCTCTGTTGCACGGTCGTGCTGAGATGCGAGAGAAGCGGGACGGGATACACCCAGTGGAGCTTGGTACTTTGGGTGACAATCCCGGGCTCTTTCTGCAGGTTCTGGCGGCACCTCTCTATGTGCGCATACTACTCGTCGAGGTGAGGACTCGTCTGTGCGATGCTGTGCACAATGATGGACTGACCTGTTCGCACGCAGGCCAGTGGTACGCGGCGTGCGGTGTGCGGTGACCGGACGAGTGGCTGACGCGCGCGGTGCCGCAAGGACTCGCCGCGTTCGGAAGCTGGTAGGCGTTGGCGAACGCTGGGAGTGGGGAGAAGGCGGAGGACGGTGACCACTGCAGAGACGCGGGCACGGTTTAAACGAGCACGGCCGTGTACAAGGCTGCTGTAATACACCTATGCTGGCCGAGTCGATGTTAGCCTGGAGACTGCCCAGCTCTGCTATCCACCACGTAAGACGCTCCGTGCATGAGGACGCTGCACGCCTACCACCAAAGGTGCTCTGCCCACGAACCACCATGTAAGATGCACCACGCACGGAGACGCTCTGCCCACCATGTATAAGATGCTCCGTGCACGGAGACGCTGTGCCAACGAACCACCCTCCTGGTCTCCAGCTTTATCATCGGTACTTTCTTCCTCTCCGCAGCACACTCCGGTACGTGTCCATACAGACGCCGTCTTCTCAGCATCAACCGTCACCCACTCAGACTACAATTCGCAACGTTATCGCAAACACCCCTCAAATCCCTCCACGTTGAGGTCAAATACGAAGTCTACGACGCGCTCTCGACCCCCCTCACCGCCTCTATCGGCGCGCACTTCCCCCACCTCACCACCCTCCACATCCACGCGCCCGCGCCCCACCTCCTCGGACGGATCCCGTCCATCGCAGGCCCGTCCCTCTCCGGCATCGTCGCCCCGCTCCTGCCCCTCCGCGCGCTGCAGTCCGTCGCGCTCGACCTGCCCCGGTTCCGCGTCGCGTACACGAACGACGACCTCGCCGCGCTCGCCGCCACGTGGCCGGACCTCCGCGCGTTCCGCCTCGCGTGCGCGACGACGCCCGACAAGCGCGCGCGCCTGGACGCGCTCCCCGCGTTCGTGGGCGCGTGCGCACACCTGCGCGCGCTGCGTCTGCCGGAGGTGGACTTTCCGTGGGTGCCGCTCGAGGCGCTTGCGGGCGGCGCGCCGGCGGGCGGGTACGCGCGGTTGACGACATTGGAGATCGCGGGCGTGGTGGTGCCGCCGGTGCCGGACATTGGAGACGTAGTTGCGGCAGAGCTGCAGAAGGTTTTCCCTCGGGTCGAGCATTGGGCGAGGTGCCCGATCGTTGTGCGGGTGTGAGGATACACTGTTGTAACATACCGTCAATCTGATCATATGTGTACGAACTTGCGTGTCCGCTTTGGTGGAAAGTCTCCGGAGGTTTTTTGATGGAAGAGGAAGTGACAGTTCGTCAAGAGCAAGCACCTGCGAAGCTGAAGCGATCAATGTGCATTATACTGGTGTAACAGAGCGAACGACGCAAGAAGGCCCCGTCAAGACGAGACCGACATCGCAGACACCGCGAGGCAGTCCACCTCTCCTCCCTGCCTGAGCCCCTCCATCTTCTCCCACACATCTCCGCCGACACCGCGCGTGTCTCTAATCCACGACTGCCGCAAGTCCAGCTGGGGGAAAAGCCCGTCCACGAACCGCGCGACCTGTAGCGCGTTCGGCCGCTCCTCGTCCCGCGCCCCACGGTCGTCCGCCCACACCTGCAGGACCGCGAGCGCGCTCGCGCTCGCGCCCGCCACGCTGTCTCCGCCTTCGAGTCCCGCATCCAGGCGCGCCTCGAGCATGTCGAGCTCCAGCGTCTCGAGTGCGGGGCAGCCCCGCGCAAAGTGGCGGAGCGCGCTGAGCGTCGCCGCCGCGTGCGTGTGCGTGTGGCCGTAGAGCGTCTCGATCGGCTGCGCGCCCCAGTGGACGTCGTCGCGGTTGATGTAGACGAGGCGGAGGCGGCGGAGGAGCGGCCACGCGTGCGCGAGCGCGTGGAAGTCGCCGTCCGTCGCGGTCACCTCTGTGCAGGACGTGATTGTGATGGAGACCTCCGCGAGCTGGGAGATCGTGCGGAGAGGGCGGAGGAGATGCGAGAGCGAGAGCGGGAAGCGGTACTGCCAGAACCGGCCGGAGTCGAGGACGAGGGAGAGGGTGCGGAGCGAGCGCGCGAGCGGCAGGGAGGCGACGGTGTGCAGCACGCGGGTGTCGGTCATCTGGGGGACGTCGAGGTGCAGGTGGGTGAGGCGGGGCGCGAGCACGGACTGGAGGATCGCGTCGATGCCCGCTTTCGGTCCTCCGAGCTTGAGCACCGTTAGCTGCGTGGTTCGGACGGGCGGGCTGAGCGGGAGCGGCGCGGGTTCGGTGTAGGGGGAGTCCACGTATTCGCATTCGATGGTCTCAATTGTAGAACGCCTTGTCGCAATCTGGATGAGGATGACGGGGGTAGGTGCGTAGGATGTTGTTAGGTGACGGAGGTGCGAGAATCCCGAAACGGCCTGCCATGTTTTCGCGAGGCGGTCGGGGAAGTACCCAGGCATCATGGTTAGCGCGAAGCGGGATATTTGGGGGCAATGCTTGATGAATGCAGCGATAAGGGGAGGCGTCCTATGCTTGTCCTCTTCCGTAATGGAGGTCAAAGAGAGCTCCTCGAGCGAGGACGAGAACGCAAAGGGCAGCTCAGTCTCCCGAGCATGCCACCGGAGACGATAATGGAGTTTCTTGAGGCGGGGAAAGATGGGTGCGCCTGCAAGCAGGGCGAGATCGAGAAGAAGCACGAACTCGCTAGGCTCAAGAGTAGTCTTGAAGACGAGGGACTCGACTCGTGCTGCGCAGATGCGCAGTCTCTCCAGTTTAGCCTCGTTTGAGTAGGCAGAAGTCGAGATGATCTATGGCGCGTGATTAGTTGAAGTTTGGGGATGCGAATTAGACTGCACCTTCTCTGCGTGGTCCTGTCGCGGTTCCGAGTCGCGTGAGAGCATTCGAGGCCGTTCGCGCAAAACTGCATGAAACGGCTGGTAGAAGGGAAGGATGATGTTCTCAAGTGGGAGGAGGCTGTCGAGAGTGTGCCAGAGCCGTCGCAAGGCCGGTTCGGAGAAAGAGCGACACGTGAGAGACGTGTGTATACAGGTCAGACGGTCGGAGGTGTCGCTGGGGTCAAAGTTTGCCATGATCGTCTCTACAATTTCCCCTATTCGAAGAGCAAGATGCGGCTGGCGGCCAGGGTCCTCCATGGCACCGTACCGTGAGGGGGGTCGCAGTATGATGGTGGGAAGAGGGAAAGGACGAGCGTAGAAGGAAAAATCGTGGCACCACTGGCAGGCAGGCTCGAACCGCCAAAATCAGACGCACGCCCCTCACCGGCCCGACCACATTAAATTTCTCACTTGACATACACCTTCATGATGAGTTCCATCTCGTTCCTTCGGCACAAGTTACCCAATCACTCTTACCCTTGCAGGCTCAAACTGCTCATTATGCTGGCCAACAGGCTCATTATTGCTTGAGAGCCTTCGGTTTGTAAATTCAGTGTCTTGTAGAAAGCTTGTCCAAAGCGCCGGAGTCTGGCGACCGCGAAAACTCGAAAAGAAGAACTCCCCAAACACCAGTTCGCGGCGTGTGAGGAAAAGCTCTTTCCGAAGTTTAACCTTGATCAAGACATTGCCAAGGCCACATTGCAGTTTGAAGAGTCGGCGGGCAAAGCGGTCCATGGATAACCGCGGGCACAGTGACTCAGAGTGGGAGATCGTGGGTCGGAGGTCAGCGAGAGAACGTTGAGCGGGAGTTGTGGGTCCAGGACTTCTTCGCTGGATGCAGTATCATAATTAAGTTATAATGCCCGACGCCACACGCGTGGAAGAGGAATTCGAAGCCATCAGGGTTGAATAAAATATTGCGACAGCTCGTTAACTTTGCACATCGCCAGAGTAAGTGCAATGTTTGCCGAGAATTTAGTTGAGAAGCCACACTGGTGTAGACTGAGAGTTCGGCTCCGTCGGAGATTAGGGGAAGGAGTACGAAGAAGTCCAAGAGAAGGCGGGGTTTAGCCTACTATGCGGGAACAAAGTGGAAAACAAAAAGCCAGGGGAGCATAAATATTGAGACCCGTAGGTCTACCACTCCGGGAAAGCGTGTCATCCTTGTGCAGGGGCCATGCTAATCTTCTCTGTATCGTTCCAATTTTTTCGTATGTCACCCCGAAGGGGACATTAGCGTGGGCTCGAACTTCCGCTCGGGCATCTGAGCCGCGCTTTTTGCTCGGCCCACGGGGTGCCTCCTTCCACGTGCGTCCGATCGAGGTCCCTGCGCCTCTGAGCTCACTGACCTCCTCCACCCACTTGAAGCCCTCGGCGGCGTATGCCGCTCGGCCCCGACGCGTGCCACGTGGGCGTGATCGCGAAGGCGGCGTCGCGCTCTCGAGCCCTCGCTCTCGCTCTCGAGCCCTCGCTCTCGCTCTCTGTCCTGCGCTCGCTCTCGTTTTCTTGTGCATTGCACCCGCGACGCGCTATTTTTGGACCGCGGGCCCGCTCGCTCGCCCGCTCTCGACGGCCGTCACGGCCTCAAACACGCACTCGAAGGGCGCATACAGCCAGTCCCCCGCGCTCCATTCGCTCACCTCCGACTCTCCCAGACGCCGCGTCGACCGGGCCCGGCTCTTTCATCGCGCCCTGCCGCGCGTGCACATCCGCCCGCCTGTCCTCCGCCTGCCCATTCTGCTTCGTCGACCCCGCACCAGTCGCCGGCCACCCGTCGTCCGCCGCGTACCGAACCACCCTCCCCACCCATCAAGTGCTCTGCCCGCCCGTTCGCCGTCGAGCAGCGTCCCGCCCCACGCATTCAGCCGCCGTTCATGTGGACCCAGTCCGTGCTCTCATCCCGCCCTCCTTGCCTCCACAGCCGCCTACACGGCACCAGACATTCAACACACTGTATGCGCATGTTGAGCAGACTGCATGCGCGCATACAGCAGGACCAGTTGCTCTCCTCTTCTACCTCTCCTCGTCTGCCAGCACTTCATTCCCCATGTCATCCCCTCATTTGACCTCGCTCGCCCAACAGGTCGAACTAACGTGCGTGCTCAAGCCAAGCCCAGCCAGCGGAAATACCCGCCTTTCCGCCCTAACGTGCCTCAAACCAGCACCCGCCTCACGCTACCCCGGCTCGCCGGAGTGCCCCCGATGAACGCTTCAAGGTACATCGCACACTGGTACGAATGTGTACGCACGACGTCTGTTCTCCCACCCGAGTGCGCTCGTTGCCACCGTCCGTCACCACGACGGTACGCCCGTGTTCGATCCTCACCGCGGTTCAAAGTCTCCCGGAGATCGTTGCCTATCCACAGCGCCGTGCCTCTCGGGCACGTCCAACCTCGCCTGAACGAACGTTCGCTAGCGGTACTGGCCACGAGCTATCCCCGCCGCCGCAGTGTGTCTGACACTCCAAGGCAGGCCATGTCGTCCGTATCGAGAGCACGAAAGCGCGTGGTCCCCATACAAAGCGCGGTGCATTCGCCGAGCATTGCTGCGATCGCGACGAACGACTCTTGAGGCCTTGAGGGCCGGGGCAGACGATGCGTGAGTGCATGGCATTCCCCCACGTCGTCGCGGGAGATGCCGCTCGCGAGGTCTCTGACGCGATTCGTCGCTGTCTCTGTGAGTGCGCCATCATCAGGCGTACCAGGTTGCTGATTGGTTGCTGATCCACGCACACGCAGGGTCGGGTGCCGTGCTCCTGTACTAGCGCTACGCGTTTCAAATCCAGTCGCGTACCCGTCCCATTCCTGTGAGTGACGCAGGCGGCTCGTTCCAGTGCATCTCGTCTCACTGCCGCCCTCGTCTGCAGCGCAGTGCTTACTCGGTGCGGACCATCGCAGACCGCTCTTGCACCCGAGAGCTCTCGCCGCCTGTGTGGAGCAATGATCTCTCGTTGCCGCTACCCCGCCTCAGCTCCTACACACCGCAATGCCCGCGTGGACACCAACACGGTCGTTCAGCAGACTGTATGCGCGCATACAGAAAGACCAGTTGCTCTGCTGGTTCGCTTCTGCTCGTCTGCGCATTCGCCACGTCATCTCGAACCTGCCCGCCAGCCCAGTGAGTCGGCA